AAGCGAATGGTGAATATGTCTCATTGCTCTTACCTGTTACTAATTGGGATAGCATCTGCAGTAGTATGTTCTGTTGGATCAGATAATGGATCGGGAACATATCCAGTTCTTTCAGATTGAATATCTTCATCACTTATCTTTTCTTCCATGGTTGACATAATAGATTCTGGTACGTCGTCTTCAGGTAGTTGAGCAATATTCTCAAGATTTATCTCGATACTTTGGTAGAGAATATTATATTTCTTCAGCCATTGCAGAGCCTGAATAATTTTCTTCTTGCGTACTGTTAAAATTTTTCTAAGATGTATACGTTCAGGAGGACGAGATCCAACAAAAATAACTTTTAATGTGTCACATAGATCGTCGAGTTTTAGTGGTAGACTATTAACAATGTTTGGTATATTTTGAATAAAAGTAATACAATTGCCTTTCAATGCTGTTTGTGAAGTTGTGGCTGAATGAAAAGGTGACTGAAGTTTTATCACACAGCTATTATGACGATAAAGTGATATTAAATTTTGTTCCGGAATTGTTAAGCCTTGTAGTTCAGCAGGAACATCGCCTAACCACATATCATTGGCAGGTGAAAACTTAGGAATGCGTTCTTTCGACAAAGCATCATGGCATTTTTGACAGAGTCTGCACATATTTACATTGTTCTGTTGAAATAAGCCATTAGCATATAAAATAATATTATTTTCGCAATAAAAAGATGATGACTTGGAAGTTGAAATACCTGAAATAATCAAAAATTATCGAAAAAATCTTCAATTACGAATAGATGTATATTACTTTGAGCATCATCAATCATCTGTATACCATCACTATTAACAGTAGTTACGGTGTCATGGTTTATGTAATGTAGATTTGATAATTGAGTGTTCATGATTAAAGCTTTAGTTTCATCTGAAACTTTGAGTGATTCAATAACAGTAATTTTTGAGATAGGTACTGATTTCGACTTTTGTACTGAAGTCCGAATGTTGCAAACTGCACAAGTAGTTTCAGCTAGTGATGACATGGACATTCGAGGAAGAAATTGTTTAAGACAGTTCTCTTTCAAATCACAAGAAATTGGTTCCGGCCAAGATGAAGAAATAGGATTTCTGTTTTTCATTATAATATTTTCATTTGGTATAAGATCAGATGTACCACTATCATTATACGATTCATGTTCTTCTGTTCCAGTAAATCGCATCTGAATATTTTGTTGTTGAACACTAATATTGTGAGATGCAAGTTTTTCGATTTTCTTTTTTGCTCTGTTTGCCTGACTTCGCTTTCTTTGCTGTTTCAGTCGATTTTGGCGTTGTTCTTCTGTTTCATTCATTCGGCTGGGTCCAGTTCGTTCTTTCTTCTTTTCAAGTCGACTTTGGCGCTGTTCTTCTGTTTCATTCACTCGGCTGGATTGTCTTTGTTCTCTCTTCTTTTCGAGTCGATTTCAGCGTTGTTCCTCTGTTTCATTCATTCGACTACTATGATTGCGTTGTCTTTCTTTTTCAAGGCGATTTTGGCGCTGTTCTTCGGTTTCATTCATTCGATTAGATCGAGCTCGTTCTCGTTTCTTTTCAAGTCGAATTTGACGTTGTTCTTCTTTGCCATTCTGATCTTTCAACTTTGTATCAAATATGATCGATTGAGGAGAATCAGTGTGTGTGTTAATTTCACTTCGTAAACGTCTGCTAGGAGTTAATTGAAATTCAGGAATTCGTATTTGGACAACAGAATTATTCTTAAATGTTTGCTTTTCAGGAGTCTAAATAAATCACAACAGTAGTGGATTCTCTGCTATGCATAAAAAAACCTACCACAAGAATTGACGCTGTTTGATTATTAGTATCGAATTCACGTTGAGCACATGGTGACAGAAGAGGAACAAAATGATGCGGACTCCATGTGGAATTATTTACAATTCTTGCTTCGTTTTCGTTTAAGGTGTGTGACCACAAAATTTTAATTTCGCAGTTAGCAACAATAGGTGGAGGAGGCATAAAGATATTATTGGCGATAGCTGTATAATCTCGAACGTCAATGTTTGGATAGATACTTCTTATGTTACATTTAAGCACATTGCATAATGCACCAATTTCATATAGTTCAGAAAATGTGTAATTTTTGCATACAGCTTGTATTGCAATGTCGATAGGTCCGACGAAAGGTGAGTACGTATTTGAATAATAAGTCTCATTTGTAATAAGTTCAATAACTGTTCGACCTAAAAATTATTGCGAAGCAAATTGTGCCATAACATAATTGAAACAGAAATTTCTATACCTCGTAATTCACTCGTTGTCACTGCTGGATTATTCATTCAGAGAAGAATGGAATTGTACAAACAATTTCCATTGGCAGTGACTTGAACTGGAACAAGGTGATGCACATTACTAGTCGCCTGCTGAAGATATTGCTTGGCCACTATGTCTACAATATGTTTTCTCTCATCAAAAATTTGATTTGGACAAAATTCATATGGCGCCAAAATTGATTCCATCTATAAAACTTTGCTTATAATTTAATTCATATTAAAAAAAACTCACTTCTCGAATCCGTTGTACGGCAGCAACAATCTCGTCATAATACATTATACTTTGAGAACATTTTTCGAGATGTTGAAGTAATCGTGAAAATTTTTGATCACGACTCATTTGATTACATTGCAAGCAACAGGCGCTCACGCATTGCATACGACAAAATATGCACTGCGTGTTCATCTTTAGGTTGCTCTGATATTTGTATATTATTATCTAGAGTATATACAATAGATGAGTACACGAAATTTACTTGTGTGAAAAATTAAAAATAGATATAAATATTTTACGCAAACGCTACATGTAATTGAAAAACTTCTACAGACATAGTGATGGAAAAAAAAATATTGTCAAAGTTAATTTTCGTTAATGTACTATATGATTGTAATTTAAGGAAACCATACATTCACTGTCACCTTTTTTTAAATTAATTCAAAATAATCATAGGTAGTTCTTTCATTTGGAAGAGCAGCATAGGAAACACATCTCTAGCATACAACAGTCAAGTTCTCTCTTCATGAACACAAATTTATAATTAACCCTTTCGCGACAGTGTTAGAAAAGTTGTACCGCTTATGTTCTAGTAAAAAAAAATATTTGTTTCTCATTTAATTGTCATTACCTGTACAGTAGCAGGTCGTTTTAGCTATCATCACATACATACTCTTCCTCTCTCTATTCCTATCATATAGATGGTCTTCAAATCTTCTATTACTTTTCTGCTTCATGCACTGACATCCTATTCACTTCTTCTCTTGTCTTCGTACATGGTCATGAAGCTTTTATATATTCATTTTGAGCCAAAAACAATAAACTGATGGAAGAGCAATATTTTCCAATTACAAATTAATACCATCCTCAAATGGTTAAACTAGCATTTATTACTTAATAATCATATATTGCATCTATTCCAATACGTCCAATGCAAGAGTTATAAATCTTGAACAAAAAAAACGAAATTTTATTTGTTGACTGATTGGGTACTATGGATGTCTAGGCGTCATACTATGAAACTCAACGTTAGGATAAACGACACACACACACCAAGTGCAATTGCATAAAACGATATAAAGTTTCTATAAGATAAAATAGAACGTTCGCTTACTTACGATATGGTCTCAGTTGTCTTTTAGTAGAAATAAAAACTAGCTAATATAACAATATCATGCTTTCGAATTTCAGTTGAAAGCAGTTTCAGAGTGATAATATTAAAAACGAAATAAATTTATATATAATCGCTTAGATTTTTTTGGTAATCTAAAATTCGTTCATGAGTGAAAATAGTAAGAGATAAAAAATGCCTAGAACAAAATAGGAATTGAAGCCGAACTATAAAGTCATGAGTAGGCTGTTGATGAAGATTCGTACTGTGATGAGATATCATTTCCTACACGTCTGCCTTTACGCATTCGTACCATTTCAGTTTTCGATATTGCTGCTTCCAACCGAAATTTAGACTATCAACTGTTTCCTCCAAATGCTTCTTATAAATGTAATTGAACATAATTTACAGAAAAATAGATCTATGATAGAAAAATGAAGAAAACTTAACAAATAATATATTCTCTTCATGATCATATAAGTTAAAATTTCAATAATTGCTACCATATGGCTTGAAATAAACTCATCGATGGAAATTCTTATTGAGTCCCCTGATTACTAAAAATGTCATTCTTTTTTTCTATCGAATAATATAGAATTTTTTCGACTTAGTAATATGATTACTCTTAATTAATTCAGCATATCTATGAAGAGTCTTTATACATTATTTTTCTCCTATATTTTTGGCAGGAGCTATTATTGGCTCACTTAGATGTTGATAAATTCAAGATACTGCTGTCTTGTCTTTTTTTATTCCATTTCTTCCTACTTATTACTTATAAATTGTGCGAAGTAGATATTCACATTAAATGTAATCAGTTAGATCTTTTTATTAAACTGATCCAGATTCAATTGAATTAAATTTTTTTTTATCTAATAACACATATAAACGACATAAAGAACCATTATAAAAGTTCTTTTTTATTCTTTCATAGTCTATCAACGAAAGAGAACAGTAAGAAAACATTATCTTAGAAGAAATTAGATGAGTTGTACGTCAATCGAGAGTTTCACACTTCACAAAAAATGTGTCCACAGGTTAAAAAATTTGTTTGCTTGTATAAGACAGATATAATTGGATGAGAAGAAAGAGTGATGTAAAGACGTCCATCACATGAAGCTGTTCTATGACATTATTTGAATTTAATCAAAGAGCAAGATTCTAAACACCATTAGTCGAGCATTGTAGAAAAACAATAATATGTTATACTTTCAACAAAATTCGGCTCTTTTCTATTCTTCCACTTAATTTATTGATTTTTTTCTCTAAATGCAATTAATATGTATGCACTTGTTCAAGGATGACATAAAAATTTGTGCGCGATAAAAAACATAATAACTTCAATATCGATAAGAATAATCATTCTTTTTTCTGAACTGTAAAATATAAGTCCTACCAGACAACTTTAAAAATTTTCAAAATACTTTAGTGCATTTGTAATTTGATATCTGTTAATATTTCAACTACTAAGATGTTAAATATTTTTGAAATGTCTGGCTTTCCTTCAATTGTATCATTTTTTGAGTTCTTCGTTCATTTCGCGAATTCGAATCAATGTTTGCAACAAGAGTCATCGCTAGTCACTAAGAGACAGATTAATTTGATTTCGAATGATTTTTTCATCTTTCAATGTATGTTTTCGAATTTTAGTTGTTTATTTACTCTAAAATGGAACAACAGTTAATATGTATTTGCATAGGCTATTTTTCGTTAAAAAAACATTACTTTTGATTATCTAGCTATGAAATGCCTTCAAATGTATTTGATCTGTCGTTATATGCTTATCATATATATTACACATAATGTCTGCACTTACTGTTTCTTTCTCATAGAGTAAATTGTGGCTGAATCAAGATAGTCAACTATCAGAAATAGTTTAGAAAATACCTTCTAACATTCAATGTAGACAACAAATCTAAAGAAAAAAGTACTTTGTTTTCTTCAACAAGACTTACGATTAGCTCATGATAGGAAGAGAAATATTTTTACATCTCAAATAGCTTTGAATCTTTTTTTTTCATTTATTAATTCACTCTTTCAACAGTATAACATTCTATTTATTCGTCTAAATTTTCTCGACTACAGGAGGTCTAATGATTACTATGCCTACTTCGTTTCACATTTCTGTTTATAAGTAATGATAATAGGGTTGAACAAAAAATATATGCTTTTTATTTTTCTTCATAGAGATTGTATATGTCACCTTTGGGCGATACTACATTGCATTGATATGTATAAGAGAAAGATAAACATAAGAAAAAACAAGAAACTAAAACTATGTTTTCTGAATTATCAAATTAAGAAATGTCTCTTACCGCTTTTCTAAGAGAATGCGGTTATACATGAACTTTTTATTTCTTATGTTACTTGAGTTTAATTTTTTTAGATATATTGCATAGAGACTATTCTGAAGTTATGTTTTCCTCATCTTACTTTATTTAGTGATTCTAAAAGTAGAAAATATCAAAATAATCGATATATTCTTTTTGAGAATATCATTCTTATGTATCAGACAAGTCGTTTAATCTTGATCATGTATGTAACATATCAATATGTTAGACATATCTTATGCGGTGAATCGCTAAGATTTCTACCACTATGAAGAAAATTTCTTTTCCAATTTCAATAGGCTAGATAAGCGTAACGTCGTTGAAAACGAGCGTAGGTAATAATTAAAAACATTTTACTCATGAAAAGTATCGAGATACAAGTCATTTTTTAGGAACACCGCACACAGATAAAAAGCATCCGAAAAATAGTAGCAGCCACACGGATCTATCTTTACCTGAAATCAATGTTGTAAAAATTGATATGATTAGCAAAACCTAATCAAAAGATTATTTGACGAAAATTGTGTAAACTTTTCTATTCTTCACAACAGATCTTTCATTTAAAATAGAATAATAAAGCTCTCGCGTTCTCAAAAACATGTAAGGGGAAAAACATCAATATTTCGTTCATAGCATAGTATCTATGAGAGCGGAGAAGATAATATAGGTTCGATCCCTGTCTGAAATGTGACTTCTTTTTCTTATTCTGTTATTGATGGCTTGGATATTTTGGAAACAACGAAGCATGCGAAGATGTTGGCTCTGACAAAAAACATTTTACTATTTGGTTCAAGATAGTAGTACAAACATATGTTACAAGAGAGGCGATATAAGTTAATAGAACGGTCCTGAGTCTTATAGTAGCGTTAGATATCATCCCAATTGTTGTATTAGTCTCATTTTGATCTTTATTGAAAGTGCATATTAAAATACAGTAGAAATTCAACCTTAAATTCCATTCAACCTAGACTTGATAATTATGTCAACTCAGAAATCTTAGGAGGATTTCATTGATGAAATTTTTTGGAGTGTGTCATCGAATCGATGATATATAACTAGTTATCAACATTTTGTAAACCTCTTTCACGAGACAATTGTACCGATATCTTGCAAAATTTCTATTGTAATCTTGTCAAAATTTATGCAATCTACAAAGTTTTTTTTTGTTTAAGCTAAAAATTTCGAACATCAGTCAACTTGTTTATTTTTTGTTGCGTACATTCATAATCATATGTTTTACTTCGTTGTTCTTGTGATAGACATAATAACATTATAAATCGTACTCTAAATGAAAACCTCTAGTACTCGTCAAGAATATGTTCGTCATTCTTTATTTTTTTAGTGAGTTACG